TACTACCTACAACTCACACAGAATATAATGTTATTATTTTACTACCTACAACTCACACAGAAGATAATGTTATTATTTTACTATCTACAACTCACACAGAATATAATGTTATTATTTTATTACCTACAACTCACACAGAAGACAATGTTATTATTTTACTACCTACAACTCACACAGAAGACAATGTTATTATTTTACTACCTACATCTCACACAGAAGACAATGTTATTATTTTACTACCTGCAACTCACACAGAATATAATGTTATTATTTTATTACCTACAACTCACACAGAATATAATATTATTTTACTACCTACAATTCACACAGAAGATAATGTTATTATTTTATTACCTACAACTGACACAGAAGATAATGTTATTATTGTACTACCTACAACTGACTAATGTTATTATTTTACTACCTACAACAGATAATGTTATTATTTTACTACCTACAACTCACACAGAATATAATGTTATTATTTTACTATCTACAACTAACACAGAAGACAATGTTATTATTTTTCTACCTACAACTCACACAGAAGATAATGTTATTATTTTATTACCTACAACTCACACAGAAGACAATGTTATTATTTTACTACCTACAACTCACACAGAAGATAATGTTATTATTTTACTACCTACAACTGATAATGTTATTATTTTGCTACCTACAACTCACACAGAATATAATGTTATTATTTTATTACCTACAACTCACACAGAATATAATATTATTTTACTACCTACAATTCACACAGAAGATAATGTTATTATTTTACTACCTACAACTAACACAGAAGATAATGTTATTATTTTACTACCTACAATTCACACAGAAGACAATGTTATTATTTTATTACCTACAACTGACACAGAAGATAATGTTATTATTTTACTACCTACAATTCACACAGAAGACAATGTTATTATTTTATTACCTACAACTGACACAGAAGATAATGTTATTATTGTACTACCTACAACTGATAATGTTATTATTTTGCTACCTACAACTGATAATGTTATTATTTTACTACCTACAACAGATAATGTTATTATTTTACTACCTACAATTCACACAAAATATAATGTTATTATTTTACTACCTACAATTCACACGGAATATAATGTTATTATTTTACTACCTATAATTCACACAGAAGATAATGTTATTATTTTACTACCTACAACTCACACAGAAGATAATGTTATTATTTTGCTATCTACAACTCACACAGAATATAATGTTATTATTTTACTACCTACAACTCACACAGAAGATAATGTTATTATTTTACTACCTACAACTCACACAGAATATAATGTTATTATTTTACTACCTACAACTCACACAGAAGATAATGTTATTATTTTACTACCTACAACTCACACAGAAGATAGTGCTATTATATTACTGCCTACAACTAACACAGAAGATAATGTTATTATTTTACTACCTACAACTGACACAGAAGATAATGTTATTATTTTACTACCTACAACTGATAATGTTATTATTTTACTACCTACAATTCACACAGAATATAATGTTATTATTTTACTACCTACAACTCACACAGAAGATAGTGTTATTATATTACTACCTACAACTGATAAGGTTATTAGTTTTACTACCTACAATTTACACAGAAGATAATGTTATTATTTTACTACGTACAACTCACTTGGATAAAGATCATTTTATATTGTTACGACCTAAAATTCACACGGAAGAAGATAACATAATAATGTTATTTATAGATTTGCACTTTCTGAGGAATATATTTATTAAGAACTTAATAAACGTGCGAATCATGTCGCTACAGAGCATAATTATCGTAATAACATAATACCCGAAACTAAAATTGCAAGTTTTCAGGGTTAGATTTTACTTTTATGAAAGAATTTAATCTAAACAAGTTTATTCTTTTGTGAAGTTAGTGACTTCAATCTTGAAAACTGACTAAGACAAAAGTTTACACTAACTGCTAAAAGCTAATTCGTGTGAAAATAATTTGTAAAACAAAAGACAACGAAATTAACTTAAAAAATGGATCCGCTGATGATATCATATTACTGTTCTGTTTCTCTCCGTGGATTCTACCTCGCCTCTCCATTTTAATTCCAAGGCCGCTGTAACATTTTAGAGAGAGAGGGAAATTTAGAGCGTGAGGGAAAAACCCTGATCGTTGGATGTACGGAGAAACAACGAGACCGACAAATCGGAACGATGGAAAGTTCATTTCCTATCTAAAATAAGTTAATTGAAGAACAGATGGGGAACCCCGGTGTCTTTTGTTTATACTCACTTCGTTTCTTTTCAATTCTATAAGTATAAAACAAAAATAATGTGTAAGTAAAGGTCTATAAATATGTGTTCGTTAGTTGTTTAGGAAGAGAAGATAGAGGATCTGAGCTGTAGGTTTGTAGTTCGTATTTACTGATTTCACTTTCTAAACTCTAGTGAATTATAAATATTGTATATAGCTACCAAAAGTTTGTAGTTCGTATTTACTGATTTCACTTTCTAGATTCTAGTGAATTATAAACATTGTATATAGCTACCAAAAGTTTGTAGTTCGTATTTACTCATTTCACTTTCCAGATTCTAGTGAATTATAAACATTGTATATAGCTACCAAAAGTTTGTAGTTCGTATTTACTGATTTCACTTTCTAAACTCTAGCGAATTATAAATATTGTATATAACTACCAAAAGTTTGTAGTTCGTATTTATTGATTTCACTTTCTAGATTCTAGCGAATTATAAATATTGTATATAACTACCAAAAGTTTGTAGTTCGTATTTATTGATTTCACTTTCTAGATTCTAGCGAATTATAAATATTGTATATAACTACCAAAAGTTTGTA